AGCTGCGGCACGCAGGTCTTGCAGCCCAGCTCGCTTTGATTTGTGGCTTTTCCCCGCAGGGCTCGCCATGGAGCCGGGCACCATTGATAACCTGTCCATCCTGTACCAGAGCCCGGACTTCATCGTGGTCAACAAGCACTGGGACATCCGCATCGACAGCAAGATGTGGTACGAGAAGCTGACCCTGCAAAGTCAGCTAAAGTACCGATTCCCCGAGCTGGCTGACCCGGACACCTATTACGGCTTCAGGTGAGTGCCTGCGGGACTAAACGGACCTTTGGTTTCGCTGATCTCAGTCAGCTGCTCACATCTCCTTTTTGGGCACCGCTGCGTAGGAGCAGCGATGGGTGCCACCGCTGCACGGACCGTCTGAGGTGCTGGCGGGGCACCAGTGACACAGGAGCTGAGCTAGGGGAGACATGGGCCAGCACTCGGCCACAGGCCGAGCTGGGCCGTGCCTGCCACTGCCTTCACTAGCTACAGCCCCGGGTTGGCATCTTCCCCTAACTTCCCCCAAATCCATGTCACGAGAAGAGCAGTGCATGGGGTCCCTTGTGCTCCCAGCGTAGGAGCATTTCTCTGCTTCAGGGTTATCACAGGCAGGGTAAACTGGACTATCCAAGAGAGCCAGGCACCCAAACTTAGCGCCCTGCCTCAAAGCAGGGCACGTACGAAGAGAAAACCACAGCTGCCAGGAATCCCCCAGAGGATGTTCCCCATCCGTCTCCTCCACAGGTTTTGCCACCAGCTTGACTTCTCCACCAGCGGGGCCCTCTGCGTGGCACTCAACAAAGCTGCGGCAGGAAGTGCCTACAAGTGTTTCAAGGATCGGCTGGTGACCAAAGCCTATCTTGCCCTGGTAAGTCTGGCCACCAGGTCTGCTCTGTCATAGGTTGCCGCGGCCGCTGCCGGCCCCGTCTGATCTGCGAGTGTTAGCTCGGGTGGGTTGTAGGCCGGCAGGACTCTACAAACCACAGAGTTTTCCGGCCTGATGCTGCTCCCAGTGACAGCTGGAGTCCAGATCTGGACACCTGTCCTGCAGCCTGGTGTTTTGCAGCAGTTTGTTCACTGCCTCTGGGAGCTGAATGTAAAGTCCAGGCTGATCTTCCTGTTTCTGGACATATCTTCTGAGTGGGCTGAATGGCGACTTGCTCAAGTGTGTTTCATGTCCTGGCGTGGCTGAGCAGTGAGGGTCAGGCTCGATTTGTCCAGTGAACCGGGTTTCTCCCCCTCCGCCCTTCAGGTCAGGGGCCACGTGAAGCAAAGCCAAATGACGATCCAGTACGCCATAGGGAAGAACATGACCGAGGGCATGACCCACATGATGTGTATCGAGGGCACAGAAGGTAAGCACCACAGAGCTGAGCCACGGGCTGCCCAAACAGCATTCGCCCTGTGAACTGACCCCCTTCCTGCTCTCCTTCCAGGCTGTGAAAATCCCAAGCCTTGCCAGTCAGAGCTGATTGTTCTTGAACATGGATCCTACAGCGGGGACCCTGTAACCAAAGTGCTGCTGCAGCCGCTGACAGGTGGGAGCTGGTGGCCAGGGCTGCGCAAGCATGGAGCAGGATTTCTGCGCCGGGAAGCGGTAGCAGGAGCTGGGGGCTGCAGTGCCGGCTAGCTCTGACACTGCTGCTCGGCCAGGCGTGGCTCATCCGCTCGAGCTGGTAGGAAGAGGTGCCATGCCAGAGAGAGGAGCCGGAGGTCCTGCTGTTGTCCTGCATGTGCAGCCCTGGCCCTTGGCTGCAACGTGGTTGCGTGGTGCAAAGCAAAGTCTGGAAAGGGCTGAGCTGAAAGCCACACTCAGCTCATGGGGATTTACGTTCTCTGACGAGGACAAACGCGATTTGGTGCATTGTCACCTCGTACCACAGGGCTCTCAACTGGGTGGTGCGGTAACCCCTATCTGTGATGACCCTGCTTCTGGTTTCCCCCTAGGGAGGACGCATCAGCTCCGGGTTCACTGCAGCGCCATTGGCCACCCCATCGTGGGGGACTTCACCTACAGCCACAAGAAGGACAGCAGTCCCTACAGGATGATGCTCCACGCCTACTACCTGCGTATCCCCACCGGGAAGGAGCTCATCGAGGTCTGCGCGCCTGACCCCTTCGTGACCGCCATGGACAGCAACTGGGTGCCTCACCACATCACTCACCGGCTGGATGAGACCATCCAAGAGCTAAAGGACAAGATGATCCAGAAAGGGGACGAGGAGGAGAGCCAAAAAGCCATGCTTAGTAGCGGAGGAGAGGAGGCACCAAGCAAAGCTGGGAGCACGGACGCAGAGGACCAGCGAGCCAAGTGTGAGCAATGGTTGGCGGAGTGGGCTTTGGAGTGAGCAATTCAAGTTTCTGCATTTCCAATCCAAAGCTCCGTTTTTGCCCTAGTGGGTCCTGGCTGGCCTCCCCCACAAGCCCAGCGCTGACCACATCTGCACTTTTTGTATGCCATAGTTTCCTTCACTTCCAGGACTGGGATGAGAAAGATTTTAGCAGCAGCTAGGATTGGCTTTTTTTTTAATGAACTCATCACTTGTCTGACCCCCTGGATGCCCCTTTCCTAACTCCATGCCTCAGCAGCAGTTAGCATGTCCCGCACCAGCTTCGAGCGCAGATCGGACCCAGAGTATCACACCCCTTTCCCAGGGCTCAGACGCAGTTAGGTGAGCATGGACACGAGCTTTGCCAGTAAAGTGATGGACGTGTCTGCAAACCTGTAGCGCTAGGATGCTAAAACGCACCCTATCGAAGGGAAGGGGGAACACGAAACGTACGTCCTCCTGGATGCAGCTTTGGTATCTGCTTCCCACGTTCCCACCCCTTGTTCCTGCCTGCAGGCTGCGTCCCCTCAGGGCAGCTGGTGAGTGGGGCTGCCCCACTTCTCATCGAGGGAGTGGGGAGGCAGATCAGGAGGCTGCTGGCCGCTTCAGGGGACGAGGACAGCTCTCTTGTCCCAGAGCTGCCGGCAGGGTATCTGTGGGGCCGCAGCGGCTCTGCTGCGCGGGGCAGGTTCCTGCACAGCCAGCGCAGAGAGGCGGCTTTCCTGCAGACTCGGCTTCTGGGTGTTTGGCCCGCCAAACTGAGGTGTGCGAAACAGGAAAGGTCCCCTAACCGCCGCAGAGGATTGCTGCTTTCCCCTCCCTGTCCTTGCAGATTTCCTTGCCGCATCAGACCACATGTATTTTTTTAAAGGTTTGTTGAAGATGAGTGAATTAATACTAATAGATTTTAAACTTTTTTCAAATTTCTATGAAAAGAATAGTCTTTTAGCAGTTCTGAAATAGTGATGGCCTTGGAAGTGCGTGTATTTTTAGTACTTGTACCCCAAATAGCTAGCATCGCTAAGCTTTTTTTAATAGATTTGATTATTCTTTCTACTAAGATTTCCTTTTCTTAGCATCCACTTTTATCCTGGATATGTATGCAACCCCTGCTGGGACAGAATTGTCAGGTAAAAGCCTCTTTCTGCTTTTCCTTAACGTCAGGGAATAAGGATCACTTTTTTGTCTTACTGCTTGAATCCCTCGCTAGCAGGGTACTAGCACTAGATGGTGCTGGAAACAGGTCTTCCAGTTAGGCAGTTTGTTAGGGCTGTGGCAGAGGGAGAACAGCAGGAAAAATGGCTGAAGCTCTAAGAAACGCTAAAGACAGATGCGAGCAGCAGGAAGGAAGCTCGTGTTTCAAGCTGGACCTCAGTGTGGCAGCATGCAAAGAAAAGTTGGTCTGAAAATGTCCTTGCTTTGCCAGTCAACTTCATACTGCCTTTGCGCTCTAGTTTCCACCTCACTTTTCCTCTGCAGCCCTTAGAGGAAGTTTTGAAAATGAAGAGAACAGGTTGGCTGGAGTGGGATTATGAGAGACAGCCCTGAGACTACTGAAGGACATCAGCGACTGTAGCCTATTACAATGTATTGTCACGACTGGTTTTATGCATATAGAGCACCAATGCCCTGGAGTACGCAGCACTGAGCCGTCCCATCAGCGTGTGTGCCTAGAGACCCTTTAATTCCCAGCCCACTCTCTGCACGGTGCAGTAAGCCCTGTTATATTTAAAATACGCCCAACAGTTGTTTCCTGTTACCAATATACCTACTGAGAGGGGCGGATGAAGTGCTGTAGCCCCTGCACGGAGGCTCACACTTGATATGTCTCCAACCCCCGTGCGGTTTTGCACAGCCGTCCCGGCTCACCTCTCATCCCGCAGAGAGGCTGCTCCCCAATGCCCGCTGTGCTGTCGGGTGCGGCCGGCGCGTGTCACCCGGTGATGAGCGGTGGCAGCTCCTGGCTTTTGCAGAGCTCAGTGCAAAGTGAGCCAGGGTCTGTGCTGGCAGCTGGTGGCTGGTGCGGCACCGCGTGTTGGCGCCTGCATTTTCCCTGCTGAGGGAGTTATGTGAGGTCGATGCATGCAGCTGAGCCGCATGCTGGCAGCTCGTGATGCCAGCGCTCAGGCACACGTAGGAGACAGGCTCACCGCTGGCAGCTCACCTGCCAAGCCAGGCCCTGCATATTGAGGCAAGAACCAGTAGATTTGTGAGCTGACACTATTTGTTAGTGGCAGAAGGCCCATCAGAGCTTCAGAAGTACGGGAGATGCGTGGCCCTTGGTAGGAAGCTTGGTTGCGACTCTGGTGTGCTGAATTTTGTTCCATTAATTCCTCTGCAGGTCCCAGCCTCACTTTCCCCGTCTCCCAAGTGTGGCCAGGGCGGGCAGCCAAGGTGGGCAGCCTGGTGAGATGGCCAGAGGAGCGTCCTGAGCCCGGACGTTAAGAGTGTGTGCATATTAGCTGAAGAGTTAACGGCACCAATGTGCGCTGGAGGGCTTAAAAATGAGGGGTGAAATTTGCAGCAGTATCAGAGATGCAACGCATGCTTCCTACAGGTCTGGTGTGGGGGACGGTCCCCACTGGGACTAGGACTCCCGCGAGTGCCGGAGGAAGCAGCCATCAGCTGCAGGGCGCTTGCAGCTCGCATGGGTGGGGTCTTTTCAGCCGTCTGGGACAGAGGCTGCCTCTCGGCCATGAGGACTGCAGTTGTTGGCGGTGGCATTTAGGGACACCGATGCATGTGCATAAGGGGCCAGTCACGTAGACGGTGAGGGCCAGGGAGCCCAGGCAGCCGGCAACCGGTGAGCGGTATTTGCCCACCAGGAACACTGGAGGAACCCCAGCACCCTGCACCCATCTCAGCCTTCACATATTGCACTTTTACCCCATGTTGCAGGAACCAGAGAGAAAAATATATATTTTTCCTTATCTTGGAGAGAGGTATTTTACGGTAACGCTTTCACCCTGCTTTCCCTCCTTCATACTGGTGTGCAGTGTTGCTCCGTCCTGATTGTGTAGTTCCTTCCACTGGGTAATTCGCTGTGTCTTATGTGGATCCGCTTGTGTATCTAAAACAAGTGGGGGGGGGGGATTGTGAATGGGTGTACATGTGTGTTGTGACGTTCTGTACTTCTTGGAATAATCCTTATTTATTGTTGCACATTTGTGGACATTACTGGAGTAAATCATTTCACATATATACAGCATTTGAACCAGTGGTCTCTCAATTTGCCCAGCATTGCATGAGAGCGTGGCAAACAACCAGCAGCGTGCTCAGTGGCGGTGGCCCTGTGCACCGTGCCGAGGGGCTTTCGGGAATGAGCACAGGCCGGCCAGGCAAGACCGGCTCCAGGACTCCAACCTGGCAAACCTGTTGGGCAAGCACTGGCTTTAATCTTCCCCCTCACCCAGGTAAAATCCTTGTTGCCGAGACTAGGGGGATTACCCACCTGAAAGCCCTCCTGGCCGGCGGCTTCAGGAGGGCAGAGGAAACTCAAAGAAGCTCCACCATTAGAGAGGATTTAGTAAATCGTGATAAGATGAGCAAGGATGCAGGCGAGGATGTAGATGCCCTCATGTGCTCGAGGGATGCTGGCCCTGCTCTTTCTCCAGCCCATCTCTTCCCATCACCGGCCACCTCCAGCCTCGAGGATCTCCAGGCTGCTCTGCTTCCCTTGCTCTCTCTCTGGCCCACAGGGCAGTTGAACCTCTCGTGCTCCCCTCTGCTAAAAGGAAAGCGTGCTCTTCTGTAAAATCAGGGGATGAGGCTGGCATTGAAGTTAGCCAGCTCTTAGTCTTTTTTTATCGGAGGGGTAAGTTATGATGGTGCTTTTCAAAATCTGGCCCGAGGTCTTCTCCAGTGCATGGAGTTTTCCACTAGCTGATTTCACACATTTTCTTTCAACAAAAAAAAAAACATTATTTTTTTTCCCTCCCAAACCCCTTAGCAAGATACATATGCCTTTCCTGGGGAGAAGGATGAAGCATCCCTCTGTCTGTGCCCATACCCACCCCACGCGCCTGGTGGCACGCAGGCTCCCAGGAGCCCCCCACAGCTCGACGCCCCAGGCAGAACTGCTGCAGCAGCACAGCGGCTGCAGCGGCACAAACTGCAGGCAACCCCAGGGCTGGAGCTGGACAAATTGGTAGTTCTTTCGGCCTGTTTGCTCAGTTCTGCCGCAGGGACCTTTTCCATCTCAAATAATCTGCAGTTCAACCCTGTTTTGCACTTGCTGCCCTTCCCCAGAGAAGGGCTGTAGGGCCAAGCGCTGGTGCAGGCCTCGGCACTGATGTACTCCCCTCACGTCCCTAAGGCGCCCTCACCCAGGACCTGCTGCCGGGGGGGAATTTAGGATCTTAGATGCCATCTCAGGAAGGTCTGCTCCATCCACACCTCCCTGGCAAGGCCCCAAGGACCTTATCTCCAGCCCCATCGCATTGCCAGCCTTCCCTGTCCCTCAGTGACCTGTGTTTGCAATTAGACCTCTAACAGGAACTGGTTTCAGTTTTCTGAAAATAGAAAATCCCAAAGTCACCCAATAAAAAATATTTGACTGACAACACCAGCAGCTGCTATTGTCCCAAACCAAATAACAAAAGGAGAAAGCAAAGCTTTGCCTAATTTCAAAATACCGCAGACCTCTTCTGGCAAAAAGTGCTGGGAGCAGAGCAATGCTGCCTGGGAAGGGGTAGAAGGTATCAGAGAGGTAACATGCTTTTGCGGGGGGTTTACTGGTGTTTAGATGATCCGCAGAGTAAAGTGCCTCCCAGCATGGTTTTTTAAGAACTCTTTTAATCAACAGGTCATTCCTCAAATTGAAGCAACTGGAAAAATGAGTGAAGATTGAAAGAAACTATTTGTGGTGGTCAGGTTTTGAGCAGATTTTAAACTTGCAAACCTGGCAATCCAGAGACGCAGGAGAGCAGCTGGTAAAACCAGGAGCAATTCCCTGCCCCTCTGGCCCTGCGGACACTGTGGCTGGCTACTCTCCTGCCTCCTCACTGTCAGTGATGTTGACCACTAAAATGTAAAAGGACCTTCTGGGGAAGAGCCTTCAGCCTTTGGTTCTTGGCACACACAGCACTGCCGGTGTTGGCTCCTGTGAAGGTCTTCCAGGGCCCCCAGTGTTGTCCCAGGGCCATGTACTTAAGCTCCCGGCAAACGCAATGACCTCCCACAGTGCCCTGATGAGTCCTTGCTCTCAACACTCAATTCACCTCTGGCTGCAGAGCCCTAGGCGAAGGCCCCTTCCCGTCAGCAGTCTCATAGCAAACAAGTTTCTGTAATTTTACTGCTCCAACGGGGTCTATTTTTACAGCAGATACTTCCAAAATAGAAACCAGAAACATCAGAGAGCTGCTGACCAACACCTTGCTTTGCAGGACCGGTTCCTCAGCCTCGCCCGTCCCCGCGGCGAGGCCGTGGAGGCGCCGAGGCCCCGAGGAGCGGCCGGGACGTGGGGCTGTGGCGGGAGGGCCACAAGGCCAATCGCACAGCCCCTTCCCCCGGAGTAACCCCGTTAGCTACGCACAGAAAGCTCAAGGGTTCATCAGTTGCCCCAGAGGAACCAGCCTTCCCCTTTTTGGAAGCAATGAGCAGGGGACACGCAGCAGCCAGCAAGGCAAATCCCTCTCTTCTACCCTTAGCGAGGCAGCGCTGCACGGGGCCGGGGATGGGGGGGGGAACGTGCTCTCGTGATGTTGGAGTGAACTGATGCGATTCAGGTCCGGGCTCCAACACAAAACCCCGAGGAGATGCCCGGGAGCCAGAGGCCACCCAGGCTACCGCAACCAGGAGCTGCAAGGAGGGAGCAAAACCCATTTACCGCTGCTCCATGGTTTGCAGTGACTATTCGCAAAGGCTAACGTACCCCCAACAACTCAAGAGTTGTTTGGCCGAGCCGAGGAGCAGAGCGCAGCCCGGCCTGCAGCGCCGACAGCGCGCTCGCTGCTGAGCATCGGCCCTTTCCGCTGGCTTTTTGTCACAGCACCCTTGGAAAGTCTTTGCTTTCTTTATTTTTAGTCTGTTTTTTTCGTGACACGTTCCAGACTGTGTTTCAAAACGTGACTAGAAATTCCAGGTAGAGAACTGTAAAAAAAAGAAAAGCAGATTGTCCACATTCAAGAGAAAAACAAAGACAGTGAGGGAAAACAAGCTCACGGAGAGGTATCAAGCCCTTAATTGAACGTTGCTCTATTCTGAATTCTGGTTGCCCTACAAAATATATCCCTAAATAGTTCAAAGATTTTTCAATATCTTCAGAGAACTTTTGTCTCTGTAAGGAGTGCGGGAATGGCCAAACCAGAGGATTTAATTCATTTGCCCCAAGTTCAAACTGACCCTTAGAGAAGGAAAAAAGAAACAACAAAAAAAACCCCAAAGCTACTTTACGAAACACTGTTGAGAAACTGCTTCTGTCACACCCCCTTTTTCAGCGCACCATCCCCACCCCGGCGAGGCGCGAGCACAGACCAGTTCGCTAACGCTGCCCGTCCCCAGGACACCAGCGCCCACGGAGACGGGCTCCGCCGCCTCGCCGGACTGCAGCTGGGTGAGCACCTTTCCCTTCTGAAAGACATTTAATTCTAATAGCAGAGCAAATCCCACCGGATCGATGGAGACGAGGAAATGAGACTGCCTTTGTAGCTCAGGGGGATTTACGGAACATAATGAGACGTAGCTGAAAAATTATTAGCATCTAGTTCGAAGGTCAATAAGCTAATTGTTCTGCGGAATATTAAAGAGCCCATTGATCTAATTTCTAGATCTAGAATTTATTTTCTATTAGGGGTCGCTAGTTGATTGGTATGCAGTTGGGATAAAGAGGAAGTGCAACACCTGCTTTTGCTCTTACACCGGGCTTGTATAGGTACCACTGCACCCGTTACAGTGGATTTCTTCCAGTCTGCACTGGTGTGGCCCAGTGCCGAGCCTAGGGACGGGAGAGAGACCTGCCCGTGCAAGCGGTCAGATAAGAGACGCAGCTCTGCACATCGGAGAGGAATACGCGTTTCTTTCAATAAGAGGCAGAGAACAAAAATCTGCCCTCCACTACAAAAGGTAAAAAAATTTCTCTTGGTGGTGGGTGGATTTGCCCTGGCGCTCATAGAGCACCAGAGGCCACATTGAATCCGTGGTGCTAACATCCACTCAAACAGCAGGATTTTGACACAGAAAATCAGCACGCAGGGGCGGTGGGGGTGGGGGGGTGCGATCATCTCAACCTAGGCCCTGTGCTTCTTCCAGGCCAGCACCGAGGCCCCAGCCCTGTCACAGGCAGCATGACCCAGGCAGCCCAGGTCCTAGCCACCTTCGTCCTCTGCCTCCGTGAGTTACTTGTTTCCCCTCAAAACCTGGCCTGTGCCTTGACCCCCGGGTGAGCTGCCCCAGGACACCCATTTAACTCCTGAGCAATTCAGCACAGCCCCAGGTCACTGTGGCTTTTCATTGACAAATCCACATCATTTTGGCTTAAGGGAGCTCTGCCTCATGCCACCATTAGCATTACAAATTTGTGGGAGGTTTTTCAAGCCTGCAGTGAGCACTGCATTAGAAATTTCCTGCACAAACACACTCTTCTGGGGGCAGATTTTTTCACCGTCTTTTAAACCCATCCATAGATGAAGTCCTGGTTATCAGGGCCAAATGGAGGTTGCAGGGTGGTTATAATATCTGCTCTTTTGAACCTCTACATATTTATTTTTGAATCTCTGCATTTACTAAACATTATCAAATTGACAGAGAAAAGATCTTTCCTAGACTTTTAATGGGGAGATGCTATAGAACAGAGCCCTATTCACAAGTATATAGAGGAAGAGATATTTTATAACATGATTTTGCTTCGTTGCAGGACTTTCAACAGACTTTGTGAAAGCAGCATCAGTAAGTCACTGTGGGTTATTTAAATAGCTACTAAGACAGTTTACAAACAGCACCGGCAGCAGGACGTCGCAGCTCGTGCCGAAAGTGGCAGGAACTGCGGCAGTCCCTGCGGGTCTCTGCCCTGGCAGATGTCTTCCGGGGAAGCCTGCTCTGAATGGTGAAGACATCACGACTGTGGCAGCATCTGAAGAGCGACACCTATGTCTGCCTCTCAGCTGCCCCCCTTGGAGAGCGGCACCACGTTGTGGGGCGAATCCGGGGCTGAGCACTCGCACGGCCGTGGCACAGGCACACACGGCACTCTGTCACCAGGGCTGCCCTGAT